ATGAACTGGCCAACATGAGCAGCTGCAGGCACGGAACCCTCCACCGGCACGATTCTAGGCAACTTCCCCTCTGACAAGGCTCACCCGGTGAAGATCCATCGGAGAAAATCCACACACGACTCCATCCCGAAAAAGGCCTCGCAGATGAATCCAGCACGCCACCCCCTTCGGCGGAAGCCGCCCCTTCTCAGGTAAAGACGGCCAGCACCACCTCGGGCAGCCTCCAGCTCGACATCGCGCTCCAAATTCATGAAAGGATATATAAGTCCTCCCCCTCGCTTACCCTCTTTCTCACTTAGGAACCGCAACAGCATACAAGCACTCTCGGTGAGGAGGAAGAAGGAGGAGAGACAATAGTTGGAGAACAGGCAAAGGACTGCGACGGGGAGCCCTCTCCCTCCCCCTATTTAAGGAGAAAACGCAACAGCTGAAGAGGAGCAAAAGATCAAAGCGAAAAACTCTCTCCCTTCCCCCATTCAATGCGGATGGGGAACGATGGGACGCACCCTGACCGATGGGACGCACACTGACCGACGAAACGACACCTGGTCAGACGTAACACCGCCTGGTAATATGGGACGTGGCCTGGGTATGGCCCACCACTACCACACGTCGGGCATGAAAACCAATGCGTCACCACACGCAGGCGGCTCTCTGCCTCCCCAGGCAGGACTTGGAAAAACCCAAACGATGAGATCTCCACCAGGAGAAACAGTCAGGCTACCTAAGTCGATCGAACGGCTCAGGAAAAACACCAAGAGACAGGTAAGGAGCGAAGGGACGTCCCATATACGCCATGCCAACTCCGTCACGAACGACGGGCATGGGTCTCGGTCGGACATTTCTGATTGGAGCTCTTCAAACCCCGTCACTCGAGTCATCAAGGTAACACTACTGACCCCCACTATTTCTTTATAATCATTTCATACATTCATACATGCATTCATTCCATACGCCTGTGCCCCTCGGACGATTTGGGCCCTGAACCGCCCGGGGGCTTGGGAACTAAAGCATCGCACATGCAGCGAAATGCATCACAACGCTCCGTGTTGCGTCACGAAGCGGTAGTTGCCTCATTCAACATGAGCAACGACCGACCGGGGTTCGAAGGCTGGCTCGCAAGGGGCTCTGGGCCGCCCCATATCAAACAGAGCCAAGGGAGAAAACGCAGATGAGCCCCGTGCGGCCCTCGCCCAGTCTGCCCCAAAGCAGATAGGGTCATCTCAACCATCTCGTTTGATCCTAAACCTCTTGCCAAGCCCACAGAATCTCCATCGAGGGGAGGCCAGTAGGCCACCTGGGTCGGTCTTTGGAACGATCCAGGCATCTGCCGGGTTGTAGGTAAAGGCGCAGTGGAATGTCTCAAGAGGGCTATGCCGACCCCGTCAGGAACGACGGACCCGAATTCCACTCGATCATACCTGTTAGTGAACTCACCGAGCACGTCACTCGAGCCCAAGTGATCGAAGCAAGCGACAAAGCTCAGCCCCTCTGGTTGTGAGAAATCGAGGATGGGGTAACGCACACAACTCAAACCGACCCCTACCAAAGCCCAACGGGGCTCGAGGGCTCAAGACACTCAAAACACCTGGGTCTATGACCCCAAACTCGCCCCATCCATCGACTACGCTTCGACTGCACACCAAAACGCTTGGGTCTATGACCTCAAACTCGCACCATCCATCGGCTACACTTCGACTGCACACCAAAACGCCTAGGTCTACGACCCTAAACTCGCCCCATCCCTCGGCTACGCTTCGACTGCACACCAAACGCCTGGGTCTACGACCCCGAACTCGCCCCATCAGGATCCACGAACTCCAACTCGCCCGATCCCTAAACTAACTAACTAACTGCCTCAGCTGCGCAGGCTGCACCAAGGCCAGGATCCACGACTCCGACTCGCCCGATCCCACGGCACGCACCGACGCCAGAACCCACGAGCTTCGTCTCGTCCGATCCCTAAACTAACTGCCTCGCCCGATCCCACGGCGCGCACCGACGCCGGGATCCACGAGCTCCACCTCGCCCGATCCCACAACTAAACGCCTCGGCTGCGCAACGACGCCTTGGTTAAATGACTCCATCTCGACTAAAAACACGCACACACGCCCACTGAAAAAACCCCTAGACAATTCTGCTCGAATAACCCGGGGGCTCACGGGCTACACCCGCTGACGAAATGAAAACGTCCCCCGCTGTCAACACGAAAAACCCCCCGGACGATTCTACCCGAATCGCCCGGGGGCTCAGGGGCTACACCCACGGGTGCGCTCACGCGCACCTGCCGTCAAGACAAAGAAATCCCCCAGACGATTCTACACGAATCACTCGGGGGCTCGAGGGCTCCTGTCGGGTTCATAAACCCGGGGTCCCTCGCGGACCGGCTTTCGAACAAAGGCTCGGTCCAGCATGCAATGTTGCAAACAACGCGCAACTCATGGGCCGGCCCAAGTACCTAAACAACAGGCCAGAAGGGCGATCCAATCACCGACCGGAAGGCCTGGCCGAGGAGAAACGACGCCCGTTTACCGACTTCGGCCCACCTCTCCGACTGGATCACTCGCTTCGGTCTACAGCCCACCTCCGGACGGCCTCTCCAACCGGAAGGCCTGGCCAAAGCACTACTTTCGACTCCGACCCCACATCTCCGACCGGGGATGCGCCAAGCCCTGCTCACTACTCTTCTCCGACTGGCGCGGTCAGAGCCGACTGAGACTAACCGACCGGGGACGCCTGCTCGGTAAGGACCAGGAAACGGATGGAGAAAGTAAGGCAGGGCGCACAAATCAAACTGCAATACCGGGGCCCGTATCCTATACACCTATGGAAACAGTACTATGTGACCTCCCTGGCACGTTAGAACCCAAGCAGTGTTGTAGGCGTCGATATTTTCCCCTACAGTATTATGGGCGCCATTAACTCCCATACGGTAAGGCTACCCCCACGTGCCTCTGGGCATCGATAGTGTTGTGGGCGCCAACATTCACCGTACCAGGCGAACATGGTAAAACCCCTTGCATGCCTCTAGGTATCAACAGTGTGGCAGGCGCCGATGTCTGCCATACCCGAAGAGGACAGTATAACCTCCCACGTGCATCTGATATCCAACAATGTTGTGGCCGCCTACCATCATCCTGTACCCGCCGGCGTGGACAACAAGGCTTAGAAGCATACATACTCTCTCCCTCTCACTTGTAAGGCCATCCCCATCATCTATAAAAGGGGATGCGCTCTCTCCCAACATTGAGGTCAATTAAGCTTGGTGAGATTCATCAGATCGATCAAGTTCATTAGTTCACAACCATGAAACCGCCAGGTTCGAACCTCAAGCACACGCTTGAACACTTAGCTCGTAGCGGGTCTATCGTCACTCTCGGCCCTTCCGACCGGACCTCTTGTACCCCCCATTTTTCTCCTTCTCGTTTGTAACCCCACTGCAAACTTCGAGCACCTGGGCTATGGAATAAAGTCACCGATCGACTCAAACTGGACGTATGGCACATTGCCTAAACCAGTATAAACCCTGTGTCATTGAGTGCTAGGCCACCTCCGATGACAACGTACGGCAAAATTATAAATATTTACTTATTGGTCACTTTCTGCACCGATAGAGACTGTGTTGATGGAGGGCAAATCGTCATCGAGTTCGTCAAAACTGGTCGGGAACTCGCGGACGTCCTCACCAATCCGCTCGGTCGTCTTCGGTTCATGGAGTTGAAGAAGATGATCGGCATGGTGGAGGTTCTAGGGTTAGCAACAGGATTAGTGGAAGAATGGTTAAGTAATCTGCTGCTCTCCTGTATGAACGCACGGCAGGGATAGGCGCCGAAAAGGTCCCTGCTGTTGCACTGTAGCTGCTGCAGGGGCAAGCGCCGAAATGCTCCCCTGCCGCACTGTAGCCACAGCAGGGGCAGGCGCCAAAATCAGCCCTGCTATCACATCTAGTCATTGTAACACCATGGTAGCCTGACATGTCTGTGCACTAGAATTAGATGGGTAGAGTTGTATATATAGCTTTCCACTGCAACTCAGTAAATAGAGCGAGTTCAGTTTTGCCATTTTCTCTGCAGAGCTCCGACCAACATTGGTGCTTGTGCTGTGTGTGTGCGCTTTGTTCTCCATCCCTTCTTCTATCTTTAGCCATAGTGTGTGGTCGACAATGCTGGTGAGTGGTCGGCTCACCTGTACCGGAGATTCAGGGGCCAACAAAAACGATGCGTTTGTTTTCATTTAATCCCTCTGCAGGTGGGACGGGGAAGTACTGTAGTGTAGAGAAGCAGGAGCCTCATCCTTGGACTCTTGGAGGAGATGAGTTGTGGCATTGAGAACGTACGTCTGGGCTTTGATAAAGACGAAGGAACACGGCTGTTTAACTTTTAAAACGTCAACCGTGGCAGATTTTGACTGACAGAGAAATCCTATGGTGCTGGGCTTGCTCGTGGAAAAAACTAGTTCTAGCTGACTGAGGGCAGTTTGTTTTCCTTAAGGGTATATGCCCCTGCACACACCCAATCTACGACCTCAATGGCTTTGTTCGTTTCTCTTATAATCCGTATTTTTCAGCTTTTTTTTTAATCGCAACAGTATTTTTCTCTCACAACCCATCAACCGAAACAATATTTCAGCTTGTTTTTCAGCGAAACGAACGGACGAAAATGCCACTACTTCGCCTTCATCCTGTATGGCTTGGAAGCATGCTGACTCCAACACTCCTCCCTGTCAGCAACAGCCATGGTGCACCAAGCGTCAAGCGATTGTGCTGTCAGCAACAGCCGCTTCCCCGCTGCCTGCCTGCGTGCTTGCTCTCTAGTCGTCTCCCCTCTCGTAACACGAAAACGACGAGGGAAGCTTCCTTAGCGACTAATCCAGCGCCAAATCCTCCGTTAAATTAAGTTTGATACTAATCTCATTCTCATGCTCGCCGACTCCGTCCATTACTCCCTCCCCTCTCGTCGTCGTTGGCTCTAGTCGTCACTCCTGGCTGTTAGCTTAGCCACATGGCCCGCGCCTGCGCCACCGTCGTCCTCGCCCTCGCGGTCTGCTGCCTCCTCGTGGCCACCGCGCCGGCGCGCCGCCCCGTGGACCTTCCGGCATCACGGGCGGCCGATGCCGTCGTCCTCGTCGACCGCGAGGCGGCTGCCGAGCCCCTGCCCAGGCCGGTGGGGGCTGCCGCGGACTGCGCCGAGGCAGCAGCCGATGAGCAGGGCACCGCGCTTGCTGTGCCCGAGGAGGAGGGCGACGCCGCCCGCGTGGAGGCGACCAGTGCTGGCGCGTCAGCGTTAGAGGTGCGGCCCAGCTCCGAGGAGACGACGACCGCGGAGGAGGAGGGGTGGGGCTGGCCGGCCGTGTCGGGGAAGTCGGAGGACGACGAGAGGCGGCCGTACGATTCCGATTCCGACTCTGACTGCGACTCGGACTCCGACGACGAGGACGAAGGAGGCATCTTGCGGTGGCTCTGGAGGCTGGCGGATCACCTCTTCTGAACTCCGAATTATGATCGATCCTCACCTGCCGCCGGTAGACATATTCTGATGCTTCGATCCTTGTCTGGCGCAGATCATATATATGTAGCAGCAACACCTCTTTGTACAAAATTATATTGATGAAATAAATGATACACCTGTGTTGTTGTATGAACGGATCAAACATTCAAACTGCTGTAGAACCTGGTAGTAACTGTCAGCGGCCGTAGAACGTTACACACCATACTTCCAAGAAGCAGGGCACGCCTGAAATATCTAATGACAAGCATGCTCGACAATGCAAAAGTGTGTTAAATCAAGTTGATAATAGGTTCTGCCTCTCATCCTATCCTACAGCTTTATAAAAAGTCAGAGATATTACAAAGACAACATTTGATTTCAAAGAAAACGCATCTGCCAATACAGATGAGACTGCAGAAACCTGCCCAAGCAGTTCTACTTCTTCTTCTCCTCCTCTTCCTACTTCTCTTCCTCCTCCTCGATTGCATACTCGTCGTCGTCCGAGTCGTCGTCGTCCCAGCGGTCATCATCGGAGTCAATTTCGATATCATAGTCATCCTTCATATGAGCCTGGCTGAAACCGCTCAGCTCGTTCCTCCCGTCATCCTCGTTGATGAACTCCAGTCCGTATACCGCGTCTCTGTGCTTCACGACCAGCCAGCGAAGCAGCCTGTCCTCCTTGTTCAGATAGTGGAGTTCTTGCGGGAACGAAGGTGGAACCATCATGGTCATTTGCATAAGCTGGCCCTGTAAATGGAATGGGGAAGCAATCTTTAAGACAACTACACATGAGCAGGTTCTCAAGCTATACACAAGAGCAGGTCAAAAAGAGAATTATGTGGAGATATATCACTTCTCGTCGTCCAGGCAATAGGTTCAAACAAACCTTGGCAATGGGTCAAGCTTCACAGCTAGCAGACAACTGAAAACATACATTGTGCCCCTATCAGCTGCTTTAGCCATTCTACTTCATCCGCTCTGCTGCTCAGCAGATCCTTAGAAGAGAAATTGATAAATCACGCCATGCAGGTAAAGCCACAGCAAGGGTCTAAAGTTGACCTTATAGCAGCTAAATCATTTTTTGGATAGTAAATCATCTCATCACAAAGTATTTTCATTAATTATGATGAAGTATAAGCACTAATAAATTCTATTTACATGTCAACTCTGCTTAATTTAGCACCGATGATTCTTAGAAACATTTTGGTTACCTATTTGTTTTTTGTTTTTTTTTATGCTCCTAGGCAACCCAGTTACAAATTGAGCATCCTTTGCCGAGTCCGAAAACACTCAGGCCTTACATTCTCTAAAGTTATAACAGCGTAATTTTCCTTTCTAATCTGAACTAGCTAACCAATTCCAGCCTTCCTATCATATATATTGTGTTTAACAAGAATGGCTCAATCGTGGCAGTTAAGGTGACCAAGAGGACAACCGAGGATTGCATTATACAAATCTGACAGGGACCAAGAACAAAATCAGAATACTGACACCCAAGACCCAACAATGGCTTCTTATACTGAAACTCATCACAGTTGCATACAAGCTACAAGCTTGAGTTACAGCCACAACATCTGGTGTCTAGAGCTTGATGGAGCACAGCACTTTTTTTTGTCTAATTTTCGCAAGACACTGTAAGGTAATCTCAACTACTGATCTCACAATAAATGCCTAAACTCCATGTTTCAAAACATGAAACTCTATGGCCTGTTTGCATGGCAGTGTAGAAAAGCTGCCTGCACCAGGCATCGCTCCTGCCTGGCACGCGTTCCTATGGCTAGGAAGCAGTGGTACCTATATATCAAGTAGTTGATAAATAATAAAATGCCACTACTTCATATCCAAGTGGTTGATAAATAATAAAATGCCACTACTTCGCCTTCATCCTGTATGGCTAGGAAGCATGCTGACTCCAACACTCCTCCCTGTCAGCAACAGCGATGGTGCTGTCAGCAACAGCCGCTTCCCCGCTGCCTGCCTGCGTGCTTGCTCTCTAGTCGTCTCCCCTCTCGTAACACGAAAACGACGAGGGAAGCTTCCTTAGCGACTAATCCAGCGCCAAATATCTAGGAGTGAATTAATAAGTGAGAACCAACCCAAGAAAGAAACCGATGAAGCCATTCGTTGTTCTTGAATCTTGATCCCGGCCATAGATTTGAGTTCAGAAGGACTAGCTGCTGGTAGGTACTTGCTAAATAATATAGAAGGCATGGCGTTCAGAACAACAAGAACTTGGACTTGGAGATGCATCTGAAGGGAGCGTCATTCCGTTGGGCTAGAAGAAGCAGATATGGCACGCGAGCCACGTCCACTGGTTGACGGCGACGAGCCCGGCGACTTTCCAGCGCGTACTGGCCTTCCCCTCCACCCCGAACGGCACGACATCGTCGCGGAGCGCGGCCTCCACGGTGGCGCTCCCGCCAGTGCCCAGCAGGGCACCCTACACGCGCGCCACGTACACCAGCGACAAGGCGCCCCTGGCGGGAACGCGCGCGGAACGTGCCGACGAACGCGAGGCAGCACTCGAGGCGCGAGAAGGTCGCCGCGGAGTGCGCGCTGTCGTTGCGGGCCTCCACGCGGAGCGAGAGCTGCACATCGTCCAGCGCCCCGAGCTGGTCGTACTGTATCGTGTCCGGGCACTTTCGCTTTTGTTAACATAGGTTTGCCAATCCAACGGCACAGTGCGTAGGTGCATAGATTTAACTTTCCCCTAGCTAGCTAGCTAGAAGAATTTAACAAGCAAGTGTACTGTTTAGAGTTTTATGGGTGTACTGTTCTCTTAAAGAAACAAATGAACCCATTAAAGAGTAAATGTGATCGATGTAATAGAATGCCTAACCTTTTCCATGATCTAGTGAGCTTATACTGTATCCCATGATCTAGTGAGCTTATACTCTATCATCTAGAAGTCAAAAAAACCTCCATACTGTTAAGGTATGTTTGTGTGCATCCATGGCAGGTAAGTGAGTTGTATACTTGTACACGTTCACTAGATTAAAATTTAACGAACGATCTTTTTTTTTTGACGAAACTGGAGGGGCCGCAACCCCTACATAAATTTTATTAAAAAACGGTAAAGAAGGAAAGAGTTACAAGAGTTACAAGCTCAGTTCAGGAGACAAAGAAGGAATTAGCGAACGATCTGACAAACTCTACGAGTTTGTCTTTCTTAAAACATTCATTTCTGCAAGTTTTCATTTTTAAAAAGCTATAAAGTTATACTCATAACGTTTATGTATATCGTTTTGCTGCATGAAAATTGTCACCACAACTTATTAGCATAACTTTTGTAAAGACAAACTCGTCGTGACAATTTTTAGAATGAGGTTTTTCTTAAGGAGAGGGATCTATATATTACTCATAATATACATACGTGACACAAACTTGAAATTAGTATGAGACAAACTTATATGCAGGTTTATACTCCCAAGTTATGTACAGAAGTTAATATAGCACAAACTTAAAAACAATCTCCTACTTAATGCAAAGATGCGCAAACCTTTTACGTATTCGAGAAGAAAAAAAATATAGCACAAACTTATGTAAAATTTATATTAAAAAAATAATATGAGCACAACAAAAATTCTTATGCGAAACTAAAATATGAGTCCTCTGAGTTTTCAAACACACCACACGCCCTGACCATGCCGGTCAGGCAGGCCCAATGCTAGATGCACGTATAGTCAGCTGAGATGGACACAAATCAATATTTGCAGCATAAAAACCCATACACTATATAAAATAGCTTACTGAGTTTGAGCTTTGAAGTATATATATACAACATGAAACGACAAAATAGTCGGCGGTACTGTACTGTATGCATGGTGCATGCCATAGGATGTTTAACAAAGTTACTCTATATTAGAAAGAAAAAAAAAGGATATACACGTAGGAAACAATTCACAGCTACAGTGATTGATACGTACAGAGGCGCCTATTTGTATGTGTATATATATACGGTACCGGCCGTTCGTACCGTATCCGTATGTGGAGGATGTTACAGCCTTTGACGGCGGCTGTGGAGACTGCAGAGAAACCTCAGGGGTGGAGGATTGGTGGGTCAGCGAAAGGCCCGTAGAGCCAGCCCTTGGCGATGTGGCCGTAGGCTGCCTCGGTCAGGTGGGCGCCGTCCCAGCTCCAATGGTTGGAGGGGTCCTGGCACGCGTACGCCCCCGGTTCCCCGCACTTGGACGTCAGGTTGAAATTGTACTCCCCCACGCCCGGTGCACCGCAGCAGGCTCGTGGCATCTGCTTCAGCATCCCTGCGCAAAAAAAACACCATTGATCAGAACATGTGGCCGAAGCTCAAGTTAAAGAGCAGAGCAGAGGCCGGAGCTGCAGGCTTGGGCCGAAGCCTAAAGCCTTGTGGGACCTGCCGGCTGGACGATAGAGGGTTCGTGTTCGTCATCACCCCGTCTGTTGATTACTCAGTTACATCACCTTTAGTTAGGTGTCAGTGTCACCTTCGATCACCTTGAGCCAACGTATGCAAGGCGAGGCAAGCTCCGTCGCGTCGCCACCGCGGCACCTACCTACTACGCGAGAGCGAGACCGAGACCAGCACGCAGCCGCCGCCGGCGTTGCTCAGTCGTCACTCGTCAGCCGCTGCCGGCCGGCCAGCGAAGCCCGCTGGAAAACTCCGATCCGGACCGGCAATCCACCCTTTTCCTATGGTATTCTCAAGTGCCCGTTCAAACACGAAACCTCGCTTCAGATACCAACCACCTTGCGGTTTGCTGTTCGCCCAGAAACGCACGCGTCGTCCCTGCCCGCGTCACCCCTGTGGATTTTTTTCCCTCGGACTCACTGTCTCCTGGCCCGGGCTGCTAGCCGCTGACACGGGAGCTACCCGGCCGCGCTGACGTAAGGAACCGAACTTGCAACAACCTTAGAGGCAAACAACTGCCGTGGCCACGGGGGCGCCGCCGGCCCGGCGCCGGGGAAGAGAGGAGGAGGGGCCAGCATCATAGAATAGAAGTATATGCGCTCACCGTACTCCTCGGCGTGGAGGATGAACTGGATGGCGGGCGTGTAGTAGTCGGCGTAGACGATGCGCACGGCGGGGTGCCTGGCGCGGAGCTCCTCGACCTTGCGCTGCAGCGCGGCGTTGTGCACCCACGACAGCGTGTTGAGCTCCTTGACGCACCCGCTCCGGGGCCCGTACGCCGCGGCCGGCTTGTCGCTGAACGTGGACAGGAACATGGGGAAGCAGCCGGTGGGGAGCAGCCCCGGCACCACCAGGTCCACGGCGCCCTCCGCGATCAGCTCCTCCACGCCCCGCGCGATGGCGCCCACCACGTGAGGCACCAGCGCGTGCACCTCCTCCAGCGGCCGGAACGAGAAGATGGTCGACCCGTAGTCGTTGCCCCCGAACTCGCCCACCACGAACAGCGACCGCCGGAACAGCTCCCGGCACTCTGGTATATATGTACATACATCATGCGTCAGACACGCCATAAGTGCGTGCGTGAAGGATGTCAGGTCGACCATCGGAGAAGAATTAATGGAGAGGCGAACCGGAGAAGGAAGGGGGGAACCTTGCGGGGAGCTGCAGATGCTGGGCTTCATGTCGCGGAACCACCCGATCTGGGTGTGGAGGGAGCCGGAGCTCCACACGGCGCGCGCCAGGCCGTGCTCCTCGAAGAAGTCCATGCCCAGCGCCGTGGCGCCCGTGATGGCGAAGTTGGCGCCGCGGTGGAACGTCGCGTTCTTCGCCTTGGACGGCGGCAGCAGCGGCAGCCCCAGCTCCTGCGCTGCTCACCACGCATGCAGAGGACAGACAGACAGACACGGTTCATCAGCTACTGCGTGCGTGCGCTCGGGACCGGGAAAGCGCATGAGTGCGTTGCCTACCGATGAAGTCGATGACGACGCGGCCGTCGGAGACGCGCCCCGTGGGGTAGCCGAAGTAGGTCATGCCGTACGGCGACCGCGCCGTGGCGAGGTAGTCCGGGATGCCGTCCACGCAGAGGTTGCCGGTGTCCGACAGGGAGTCCCCGAAGCTGAACACGGCCGCGTACTCCCGCGCCACGGCCGCCCGCGGCGCCACCAGCACCAGCACCAGCAGAGCCAGGCACGCCAGCAGCAGCCGGCGCCTCATGGTGCCGCGATGGTGGCTTCAGTCCGTGTCGACGGCCGCCCTGCTCGCCCGCTTAAACTCTCTCGTGTGCGGACCGGGTCGTCGGACGGGGACACGGCCGGCCGGCTCGGTAAAACAAGCATGGATGATGATGGATTGGAGGGCAAGAAGCAAGATTAGTACCAGTTCGTCGGTTTGATCAGGTCCTCTGGTGCAGACATGGACGCGATGGGGTTGTTCAGAAAGGTCAAAGCGAGTGGTTCAAATACTTTGATGTCAGACTCACAGGCAGTCGATAGTATCAAGTTGAGTTTTTCTTCTTTTCATTTAAAAGTCAGCATTCTTATACTATCTTATTACAGCAATGAAAGAATTTACAATGGATGACTGACTATGGCTGCCCTAAATCGCAATTCTAAACAAAATGGTTCAAACCTTTGGGTAGCCACGAATTATAAACTTTTGATGAGTACTATAAAATGAGAAACTAACGAAAGAATTCTGGGAAAATTGGCCGGCTTTTGGCTTCTGTAAGGAGTTAGTCTTTAGTCCCTGTTTGTGAGACTGGTTTACTCTTCCAGCCTTCTAGTTCATGTATCCACGACAGTTAGGAGCTTTACACAGGCATGGAACCTTGCAGTCTTCGGATTCGTCAGGGTCAAACAAGTAGTCATACCTGCACGTTCAGAACCAGCATTAGATGAAACGGTATCATTCAGGATCTCGTGCCAATGAAATTTCAGAAGTTGTGTACATATCAGAAGAAAATGGCAGAGCTGAGGAATTACGTCAGTTCTTCTCCAGCAGAGACATCTGTCTTGGCAATAAGAATGATCTGGTTCCTGTCACCGCTGACAGTCATGATCCTAGCATAGCAGTTTGGCATACACTGAAAGGGCAAAACGAAAACTTAGTTGTCATTTTGTCAGGCTGTTACATATGGCAAGAAGATGCAAAATTGACGTATGAAGGTTTACCGAGTGATTAATTAGGCGTGCTATGTTTCCTTTGTCAGTAGCATCGATGACAACATCTTCACTTATCTTGAACAACTGCACAAGCACAACAGAACAAAAGAGAGTCAATGAAATTGCTTCTGCAGCCTCTTATGTTTTCACCAAAATTCAACCATACATAGGTTATGCTCGCTCTTATTACAACAAATTGCTTCTGCAGCCTCTTATGTTTTCACCAAAATTCAAGACTTCAAGTTCCTATTCTTCTATATATATGCTCTTCCTTGAACTTTAACTAGATTTGTATTGTAAGCCTCAAAACTTGAAGAAAGTATAGCAATCAGTAAATTCTATCTAAGTATCTATTTTCCCACTAATAGAAGGCAGTAGCAATACATGTAAGCACAATAAGTGATAACTCACATAGCAATCCTTTTTTTCTTTATGGTACTGTGCTTCCCTCAAATCAGCAACACACCGCCTAACTTGTTCACCACGATACTCAATAACCTGGCACAAGATTAATTAAGCTGTCAGCTCACACATTTTATTTCTCAAACGAGTAGGAAAACTGGGCACCATTGCATTAGAGAAAGAGGTCAGATGGCACATTAAGGACGAACTACACATTTGCAATGAATGGAGACCAAGCAATTCTATACAATTGTATTGTATGGATATAAATGTTAGCACCGATTATCAGTTGCTGAGACAAATGAGATCTATTGGGGGGGGGTTATTAAGCTGAATACTCAATTGAGAAACAAATACTCCCTCCCAGCAACCCACCATGCTCTTCTCACCTAGGCAGTTAAGGCATGGCGGGAAGGCAGGCAAGGCCGACGCCAATAGTGCCATACATACCTCAATGGGCTATAACCACAGCAGCAAATGATCCTACTAGCTTATTAAAGCCCAACCCAAGTCAGCAGCCCACAATGACCCCTGCCCTCAGGCTCCCATCTCACGCTCCCTACCTCTCAAGAATGGAGCCCTGCTTGACCCACACCCCCACACCCCAAAAAAGGCAGGGTAGATCTGCGCAGGCCATCGCGCTGGAGATTGCAGGCAGAGCTGTGTCAGCCATCACGCCAGAGCCTAGGATGGAAGAAGCACGAAACAGAGACAGCACCGATGGCCCATCTTCCTTCTCCTCCCCTCTTGTAGCTATAGGGGAGACAACTTGACCCCAGGGAGCGCCTTGTCGCCTAGGCGACACCTTAAGAGCCATGCTATCTCCATCCACACATGTAAGCATTTATATGATTTTTAGGATAGATTAAAGCAGAGGGTAAATAACTATGATGCCCCTCAATCACATAGTTAACACCTGCCTTTTCATATAACCAAGGCTATAAATGGCAGGCATCAAGCCATAAAATTAATGGTGAGGGAGGGGATGCATAAATTAGGTAAAAATGCATACATTTGTGGATAAACTTTAAATGTTAGGAATGCATACATTTGTGAAGAGAGGGAGTAGTAAATTACAGAATCATTTCATTTGGGGCCTGCTTGGGAAGGTGGGATTTCGATCACACTAGGATTTAAATCTGATGTGAAGTCCTAAAATTAATGTCAGGAACAACTTCCCTCATTCAGACACCCCCTGAGAGGTATGTCCATCTCTGGATAAATAGATATCATATATCAATGCCAAGCAGTCAATATTCATTTGATGGAACACAATCTCACAGATTACCAACTGCACTCCTGTTGCCTAGACACATGAAAAGGTTATTTGGGACACCTAACCTACCTAATGATAAAAAAAACTTGTTTTCTTAGATTTGAGCACACATCAATGCCAGAAGCAATCTTCTTAATAAGACAGGTTATGGAGCGGTTTAGAGAGCAGAAGGAGAACCTTCACTTGGTTTTCATTGACTTGGAGAAGGCTTATGACAAGATACCAAGAAATGTTATGTGGTGGTCTTTGGACAAACATAAAGTCCCATCAAAGTACGTGACCCTCATCAAGGACATGTACAACAATGTTGTGACTAGTGTTCGAACAAACGATGGTAACACAGATTACTTCCCGATTAAAATTGGACTTCATCAAGGGTCAGACTTAAGCCCGTATCTCTTTGCCTTGGAAATAGATGAGGTTACCAAGAACATACAAAGGGATATCCCTTGGTGTATGTTGTTTGCTGATGATGTAGTGTTAGTGGACGAAAGCCAGGCGGGAGTAAATAGGAAACTAGAGTTATGGCTGTAAACCCTTGAGTCTAAAGGTTTTAGATTGAATAGAACTAAAACCGAATACATGAGATGCGACTTTGGCGGAGTTGTACAGAAGGAGAGAGATGTGAGTTTGGAAGGTCAAGTAGTGCCTAAGAAGGATACCTTTCGGTTTCTGGCATCGATGCTACAGAGGGATGGAGATATTGATGCGGACGTTAGCCATAGAATCAAAGTAGGGTGGATCAAGTGGCGACAAGCTTCTGGCATTCTCTGTGACAAGAGGGTACCACAAAAGCTAAAAGACAAGTTCTATAGAACGGCGATTAGACCGGTTATGTTGTATAGAGCAGAATGTTGGCCTACAAAGATTCGACATGTTCAACAACTGAGTGTTGCAGAAATGCATATGTTGCGATGGATTTGCGGTCATACAAGAATGGACCGAGTTCGGAACGATGATATACGTGATCGCCTAGAGGTAGCACCAATTGAAGAAAAGCTTGTCCAACATCGGTTGAGGTGGTTTGACCATGTACAAAGGAGACCTCCAGAGGCACCAGTGCATTGTGGAGTCCTAAGCCAAGCTAATAATATGAGGAGAGGTAGAGGAAGACCAAAATTGACATGGGGGAGGCAATAAAAAGATATTTAAAAGCTTGGGATATAACTATTGATCTATGTTTGAATAGGAGTACTTAGAAAGCAACTATTGAAGTGCCTGAACCGTGACTTGAAGCTCTTGCTGGGTTTCAACTCTAGCCTACCCCAACTTGCTTGGGACTGAAAGGCTATGTTGTTGTTGTTGTTGATTATTTGATATACCTAATGAACTGACTGGATAAGCTATGCAAATAACTAAACATAATATAGATAATACAAGTCAACATGCTATACCATTTGCCCCTCCTGAATATTCCTTGCAGCAAAGAGCCCCCAACCATGAATTCCAGATCGACCACAAGAGACCCTCAAATTTTCAGTTTTCTGCAACCATCAGTTTGTTTATCAGTGTGCTGACACAACCTTGTAGTATCTAATGAACAGCAATTACTCAGAGACTTAACCTGTAAATACTCAAGCCGCTCTTTAAATGTTGAAAAAGATTGATCGTCCTTACGATCCTGTTAACAAGGAACAGGAAATAAGGTGAATAAATGAATCTGCATTCACGCTCGAGAGTGCTAGCACTCAGAATGAGACAAGTACCATGCACGCATTAAGGCCATCAATAAAATCCTGGGAGTGGTGTCGAGGTCCCATAATCCGGTGGGCAATAGCCTCTCCTGGTTCTTTCTGAAAATTGGAGATAACTTAGTAATTAGTATTTACTGTTTTTAGTACAATAGCCCCAAAGGCTTAACAGCAGGAACCAAAAATGAGACCAAGACAAAGATCCATAGGACACAATAAACTAGCAGTAATTGCAACAATGCTCAATGATAAGAAAGCATGTGTGATGCATTCATGCTTGTAAAATGATTGATACCAATGCTAGAGAACCAGTTGTTCCAAATACAAGCAATTGACAAAACCAACTGCCACTAACAATTTATTCTTGAACCAGCAAACAAGCCAAGTAGTTGAACAACAAAGAAATTACTAAGAATGTAATATACAACTGATGTGGTAGGAAATAATTAGTAAAAGTAAATGTTTAAAAAAGAATTCAAAATTCATCCATGACAATAAGCACCATCTTTTCTCAAAAATTAGGAATGAAGACAATTAAGAGCAATAAGCAGATGCAAGAAAACTACCTTGTATTTCAACATTTCATAGGTCAGGCACTTTGCGACTAGACAGTCAGAAACTATAGGAGGAAGCACTTTCTCCTGGTGATTTTCCTTCCTGATGAGTCTTGCAGCTGTCTGTTTCTCACCATTTTGGAGAAAAAATTTGGTAGAGAAAACACCTTCAGGTGTCTTCATTGTCAACACATTGTCTGGGTCAGGAGTACTACAGGGGAAACAATTGCATATCAGGTGTCAGCCACATATATTTGTGGTATTTACTACTTCAGGGTATATTGCCACTTTTACTTGTTATAAGATCACTATGAAAAAGGCCTGAAAGAACACATCTACATGGTTGTGACCCTACATTAGAGTTACTTTTGTATATGTATATAAACAAAAAGAACCACCAAGTGAACTGAAATGATTTGACCATAACAAAAGAGAATCTGGGATTGGAAAGAAAATGTTACCTGTGAAAATCACAGTAGGAAACCATTTTTGTAATGTGCCTGCCACTTCTTTCAGAGTATTGCAGCTACAAGAACAAAAAGATCACAGTTTAATGACCTGTCTAAAAATATGGATAGCGAATAAATATTTCATTTTAAACAAATGTACAAATCATGTTTAAATTACTCTAAAACCTAGCTGCAATGGAACTATTTAGGCAATAATAAAAAAAAACGAAACATGCAAAAAAAAAGGTAGATTTTACACAACAAAATAATGATGGTTAACAATACCACCATACAGTTTGAGACACTGCCTGACAATAATATAATATCAACCTAATAAGCGGACAGGGCTCAAAAACTGTACATCATGTCAATAACATTTTGCATTAGGATTAAGCACTGTAAATTAATGAAACAAGGAAACACACAATCTTTTTCATCAAAAATAGCCATTGTAAAATGTGAAGCATTCAACCTCCATGCGATATCCAGCTCTTGATGCACACATTGCGTGGTAATACGTAGAGCACTTGTAGCATTGTGTGCAGGCACCATGCATTTGCTTGCATATGACACAAGTCTGCAGTTAATATGAAAAAATGCAAATATTAGGTGAAATTTGAATGGAAAGCACAGGAATTAAGATTTTGGATGCAAATTGTGAAAATATCAATTAAAAATCTCAACCTTCTTAAAGTACTCTACAGGGATGCTCATTATTCCCATAGCTGGCTCCATAGTCTCCTCGACCGGAAAAGAGACTTTAGGCTGAAACCAGGCACATGTAACATGAACCCACAGTCCCTCAATATCTGTTGGCTTGAGAGCACCCCCTGTATTAACGGAAATTCAGTAGTACAAGTTAATAGCTTCAAACAACAATAACAGACAGGACATCTGAAACAAATTTAAAGCACCAATAGAATATATTAAACAAGGAACAAAGTTTATCACGGTACAAGTGTCACTGACAAGCATCACTACAATGAGATTATTTGAAGAAAATAATCTTTAATGGCTGGTGAACGTAGTGAAACAGAAGAGTATATTATAGGCTACAAATTCCCATTATAAGCAATACCTTTGACAGGACATAGGCAGCATTCTCTTTTCTGTTGGCGGAATTCGCATGCTCGACAAAGCCATGTTGTAAGATCTTGTACAGCTCGTGCACCATAGCATTCCTGGTGAACAGCTATTTGGCACCTGAGCAAATAAATATCAGAGTGGTAATGCAGTCAATTATGAGTCAAACATCAACATAAAGGTCACCTTAAAACATACGGTGAAATATAAAATTAAGGGTGCTAAACGAAGCAAGGCCAGCAAGAATACCTGTTGCAAATTATAATTTTGTTGTAGTCCCAATCCTCAACCCATCGACAAACAGCACAGCGTTCAGTTGTCCATTTAGCACAGACAGGACTGTAAGCATTAGCTGCAGATATCAAAGCAATCAATTACATAAGGTCATGTTGCAACTGCCAGCTACACAACAAACACAAACTCAAGCAGAAATGTACCTTGCAATTGTAGCAGCTCTTCTTTCTTAATGCCTGGGTTAGAAGACTTCGATGTCCCACAAGGAATATCATCCAGCTGCAGGTAAGTTTAAGAGATCATGTGTCAGTTGGTCTTGGTGTTTGATTGAAAAAAAGGTTGATGAAGATCTACAGGGCTTACCAAATTAATGAGTGGCTCCCCTGTGCTCTTTTGTCTAATACTCATCTTCCAATTCTTTTTCCTTGAGCCAGTATGCTTCTCCCACTCATTCAGACTCATCATCCTTTCCTTGCAAGACTTGCATTGACATAGTATCCTGCCAGCAATAACTCAGCTCAAATCAGCTTACAAATAGTAGCATGTAGAATCATTGTAACACGCAGACTGCTAGTATTTCTCGGATGCAGAGGAGAATTGTGCATCATTATATTAAAGTTAGTTGGGTGTTTCTGGTCTACATAGTCAACATTACAACCCGTCACCACTGACCCACTAAATAATCCTTCAAAGTGAGTATTACAATAACAAAATCACATAACACAGAATGTGAGCCTACTTTAGCCTGCTGTCACAACACATTGAACGATGTTCTAAAATTTGTGTAAATCGAATTGAGCAAAAATAAGACACAGTTAAATAACATAGAGTAATCGCAATTAAGCAGATTTAAATTAAAATGCTACGTTAAGATTCGCAGTGAGATACCACCAAAATACCAAACACTTACATGTGCTTCTCAGGTACATACAGTGCCTCCTCGCCGTTGCAGCAAACAGCTATCATTGCGGTCAGTTTTTCCTTTGAAGTGCTAGCACATCTGTGGAGAAATACATTACATATTGAAGTGCTTATTTACTCAAGTAGCTTTGTATCCATAGGTTAGAGAGCAGTAAACGACTTACTCTGAACTGATGGAAGTATTCATTTTTTCCATTGCTGGAACTGTTTTGCGTTTTGATTTGCAATCCGGACAGTAGTAATCTGCCTTTTCCAAATCCTATGACAGAATGCCAAGTTAACAAAAGATATTCATAGAATAGTTGCATATAGATACCAAGCAATAAGGACATCAAAATGTCATCAAACAAAGGTAAGGAAATAACCTCCACGTTGTTGCATGTCAGGTCACATTCAATGTGAACCCAAATCTGGCACTCATCACAACAAACCTGGCACAAAGTGCCTTTCAAGTCAGTACCCAGAATATTCAAGAGGATATACAACCAGAGCATGTATTCTTCTAAGCTCTTACCCAGTTTCCACCATCTGTGTGGTGCCAAATTTTCTTGCATATGCCACAGTATTGTTTCGACTGCAATAACTGCAGAGTAATAATGCTTATACACATGAGTCATCGAAAGGAAGAAAGGATGTAAAGAACACCAGAGATGAAGTATCTCACAACTCAAAAGGTTAGCCACATACCTTTTCACAGTGCCTACAAAGCACCTGCTCACCCCCTTGCTTCCTTTTCTTTGAAACCTTGGATGGTAGGCGATTACCACAGCTATCACAAGACAGTGCTGATTTGCCAACAACCTGCAATTCGGCGAATTTCATTGCAGCCAGCTCTAAAGATGTATCAAGGGAAGTAGCTTCACATTGAACTTGTACAATTTCACCGTATTCAGTTACCTGAGACTCGGATTGGCACTCCTGCTCATTATTTGAAGCAGCCTCTTCCTGAAAGCCATTAGGATCAGACTGCTTATTTACAGACTTTCGCGGTGAGCATATCCCATCCACTTCGAGATCAAAAAAACCACGTTCAGCAAGAAAAGCCTCCTCAATTGCTGCACGGAATTTGCTTGGTCTGAGCTTATACAGAGGCTGTCCTTGAAACCTGACAGAACAGAGGAGCATCAGATACAGACCAAATTAGGAACACAATGTTCAACACATTCCAGAATTTTACCTGTCTAGGTAGTCCACAAAGGGAAAGATCATTCCTTGCTTAACCCATCCGTAGTCCTGCAAAGGGATGTGGCAGGGTAAGGCGGCAAGGACATGCAACCGACAAAAAAATGCTTGGTTTTCCAAGTATATTTAGTACCCTGTTTCGGTTCATCCCGTGAAAGTCAAAACCTTTGTCGGTTTTCGTAAAAAATCAAAATTTTATATCTTTGGTGGTATTTATATATATCTTATTAAGTTGTGGATTCGTTATTCGGTAACCAAACAGCCAACAGAAAGCAGCACAAGGAAATGATTAATTACCCTGCCATGCCCGTTAGCGGAATAACCGAAAAACATGACGCAGAGGGCGCCAGGAACGCAGGAGTTGAGCACGACTTCCGGCGCATGCAGCATGGGATCAATCACCAGCGCAGGCCACGTCGGGGACTTCTTCCCGGACCTCGCCCACACAACATCCCCAAGCACAAAATCCTCCGGCCAGTAGAAATCCTCTTTCTTATCACTGGTCTCCCTCTTGGGCTTGCACTCCACCACAGCAGGTCTCCCCTCCAGCCCGTCATTGCCACCAGCACCACCTTCCAAGGCGGCATTGCTCACTGGAACAGTGGTGCCATTGCCACCAGCACCACCATCCGAGGTGGCATTGCTCACTCGAGCAGTGGTGCCATTGCCACCAGCACCACCGTCCGAGGCGGCATTGCTCACAGACGTGAGCACACTACCACTGGCAGCTCCCCCAAAGCTGCCGCTCTTGCTTATGTTACGGCACGCCCGGTACAGGTCGGCATCCGTGGGTGACGGCCGCACGGGCGTCCACACCGCGGTCTCCACGGGACCAAAGGAGTCGCCTTTGGGCTCGGCCATTAGCACCTCGACGTTGTACACCTCCCCGTCCCTGCTCTTCACCCCCAGCCCGCCGCCCGGCGCGGGCAGCGACACGACCACCGCGCGCTTCTTGGCGGGCGGCGGCATCGAGTCCCTGAACCGCGACGGGACGACGCGGTCGCGGCGGCGCTTGGCGGGCGGCATGCTGACAGCGGGGCCGGGCTCCCCCACGCCCGGGACGGCGGCGCTGCAGCGCTTGAGCGGGATGCGGGACGCGGGCATGGCACCGGCACCACGGGCGGCGGAGGCTACGGCATGGGAAACCCTAGAACCTGGAATCGGGCGGGCGAATCGGGGCGCGGGGAGGGATCCAGTCCAGGCCTTAGGGTTCCGCCTCCCCCGCGAGCGCCGCGTCGGGATTTAAGCAAGCGCGGTGAGGGGGGTTCGGGGCCGCGAGCAGGGGATTGGGGATTTGGAGATTTGCGGGGCGGTGGGTGGGAGGTGGAGACGACGCGCCGACGCGGGGGCGAAAATTTGGGTTCCCTCCGCCCGAGTGTCGGAATCCGAGGAATTGGGGGGTTTTGAAAATTTCGAACGCGATGCGATGGTCGGGGGAGACAGGGAGGGAGCGAGGCGAAGATGTGGTGTGTGTGGGGGGTGGGGAGGGAAGACGACTCGGCGGCGCGAGGTGGGTCAGGTGGTGAGTGAGACTTGGGAGTGAAGCGAGGCGGCCAGGTGGTGGGGGCCGGAGCCTGGAGGGAAGGAAAAAATTTTCGCGCGGATCTGGAATTCTGGATCAGGTACTGCCGCCGGCTCTACTCAACGCGGCGTTTTCCTTCTCGGATAAGGCATTTCTAGGGGTTCGCTCCTTAAGAAAAAATGAGACCATTTTGTACTCTTAGATAATCTAAGTTATATTTGAAACCAACAAAATTTAGGATCAAATTGAATCCAGTCATGAGAGAATAAAAAACTAAATCTACGTGTCTATTTTCATTCTCCTCTTTGGATAAGGCGTCTTTTAAAGCCACGTGCAACCATTTTAGTTCTCGTTTCTACGTACGATATTTTTTAGCCACGTACAACCGTTGCTCTCAAGAGTAACTAAGACCACTTTTTTCGTTTTATAAATTGATGGCTAACCATTATAAAGGATAGAACAAAACTAAGAGAGGGAAACATGATATAAAGGCACTGGACGAAGAAAAGTCTAAGAGAATAAAAAACTACTCCGTGCCAGGCTCTCAGCATGTCGCCCGCCAAACGTTGCGTACAATGGAGTAGGTATCTACATTAGTGTGTCTGTTTTCGTTCTCGATTTGGATAGGGCATCTTTAGGACCACGTGCAATTGTTATGTTCTTAATTTTGAATAATACATATTTAGGCCCCGTTCGGCTTACCCAGAAGCCGGCTTGTTCGGCTTCTTTTTTTAGCCGGAATAGTATTTTTCTCTCACAACAATTCAGCCAGAACAGTGTTTTCAGCCAGTTTCAGCCAAAATTCAGCAAGCCGAACGGGCCTTAAAGTCAAGTGTGACATTGTTCGAAAGAATAACTAAGATCACTCTTAGCCTTTTAGATTCGTAGCTAGCCATTGCAAGGGAGAAAACGAAACTAAGGAGAGCTGTGATCAAAGCAAGTCCGCGCATCGACTTTGGTTAAGGCGCATTTAGGGACATATGCAACCATTACTCAAAAATTCTAAAAAGGAATTAAGACCACTTTTGCACTCTAAGAGTCGCATATAACCATTATAGTGGGAGGAACTAAAATAGTGTTAAGATTAGAGCAATTCCGGTCATCGAAGAGAGGAAGAGCTAAGAGAATAAAACCAAATGGGAGAGAAAACGAACGGGGAAAATGAAAAAGATGACTTTTGTTGTGGTGGTTTTTGTTTATCGACATGAGTGACTATCCCTTGAAACCATGTTGGAAACTAACCAATGGGGAGAAGAATAACAATCTAGTGCCTAAATACTTGTTTTCCGTGCTAGTGTAGGTGGCCTTAGGAGGCTCTTACGATGTAGGTTTTGGAGACACCTGTTGCGAGGATTTTCATTGGATTGTGTTGGTCTGGAACTTATTGGTATTCTTTCTCAACCATGAGAGGGCTTCGGTGAGATTATGGTGAAGACCTAGATTTAGGGAGTCGAGAGTTTAGTGTAGCAAAACCGTCCAATTTAACATAATCCCAAGTGTACTTATCAGCCATTTGACACTAAGTACGCAAGAGATTAAGCTAAACCCAGTATTCTGTCGAGCACACCCGACGGGAGAACTCGAAAATCCATATTTTCATCAGGATCATAAACAAGTGAATAAATCTTACATCATTTCATACATCACAAGATTACAAAAATCAGAGTTTGATAGAGCAATTTCATAAAAGCAGCGGAAGAAAGATCATTTTAGAAAAACAGCAGAAGTAAACAGTTTTGAATATTGAAGCAAAAGTAGAGCAATAGGAATAAAATGCTACGGTCGCGACGATAAAGGAAGCCTCGCTGAGCCCACCAGTAAATATGGCAATAGGCACAGAATACCCACGTACCCGCGGATATCAAACCCGGCGGGCGTGGATACGGGCGCCAGAGTGCATCTGCGGGCACGGGTGCTGGTAGAGTTTTAAACCCAACGTGCATTTGTTAACGGGTAAGAAAATAGCCTATCCGTATCCGCAAACCCGCCTTACCAACCTGTCATGTGGGGTCACAGCCAACCAAGTATATATTGGAACACAGAAACCCTAGAATCCCCACCCGGCCACCCCAGCGCCGCAACCAGGGTTCGCCCGTGACGCATCCCTTCACGGAATCGCAGATCCGCGCGATCTTGCGCCGCATGACGAGCCTCGCGCAGGCCCGCCCTTTGCGACCGTCGGCGGCGCCTAAGCCCGCCGCCCCCGCGGCCCTACCCGTGTCGAATGTTGATGGCCGCTGGCCTCCAACCCCCCTCCCGCCGCCTCTCAACCAAGGGGCTCGGTGCGACCGCTTGCCAGCAAGATAGCGCCGGCCACCACCCGCTCTAGGCTGGGGCTCGACAACGGCGTGCCCCAGACGTCTCCCGGGCAATGACTGCTGGACTCCTCCCTGCTCCGACCCTGCCGCGTAGGGCGCCGTCTCTGCCCCACAGGCCGCCATCGTCTTCCCCGCCGCGCAGGGCCGCCGTCTCCACCTCACAGGCCGCCATCGTCTTCCACGCCGCAAGTTTTGGCGGGGATGCGGGCATGCCCGCGGGCAAGCCTTGCCCACAGATAGCAGGCACGGGCACAGGTTGCTGCCCGTGGCGGGTGGCGGGCACGGGTGCGAGCATGAGATTTTTCTCTGTGAGCGCGGGCGTGCGAAGCCACTATCCGCGCGGATATTACCCGTTGCCATCTTTACCCACCAGGAGGTGTCCACACACAGCAACAGTTAACTCCAATATCCACCTGTTATCTGCAATAGGGGAATAAAACCCTGAGTACACAATATACTCCGCAAGACTTACCCGACTAGGTGGGAGTAGTTTCCTGACTCTCAAGGATATGCTAGGGCTATTTAGCTAGTTGTTTAATTTTATTTTTGTAGAGAAGCTTACTAATAGTGCATCCTTGTGTTCAAACTTTTTAGTAGTCACATCAAGTTCATTACTTAACCATTCTAGATAAGTACCTGAACTACTTTCAAGCATGTGGTAAGCAATCAGAATATATTTCATGATCCAGCAGTAGCATCATCAGCATCCCCATATTCTAGTTGTTACTATGATGCTAGACAGTGGCAAGTGGTATCCATATCCGAGGAAGACGGCGATTGCAATCGATGTACATCCAGCTGGGCAATCCCAAACACACGCCCATACTTCTCGAAGGAGCGAGTACAAGGCAACCTTTCCTCTCGTACGATCCAGGTCTGAAAGCGCCCCGACCATCCTAGGGAACCCACCCTATGAGGCCCGCCCCGCCAAGCGGCGACGGATTTCTCCCTCATAAGTTTTACCATGGACATTGCCCGCCTCCTAACAACTCCTCGAATGGCCAGTGTAACACTCTAATAAACTTTTTGGGGACCCTGAGTCATAGGAAATTACTTAGCTTCACGATCAACTGTAACTCAGGCCCCTGTTATGTGTTCGGTACCTTCAAACTTAATCAACGGTCTAGCGAACGGTACGGTCCTTGATCGACACAGGCGGGGCTAATGCAACTAGAGCCCCGCTCTGTTGCCCAACCAAGTCCGCATCCAAAGTCCCTAGTCCTGCTCGGTCTCCAATTTATTATCCATCTCAGAATCCAAAACCCTGTGATAGTAGTATTATAAGGACCTATCTCTCACGAGTGACAACCCATCACTCGACTTCTACCGTAAGTCTTATAGCATGACATACTACACAATTTCTATCATACTAGTAGGACTCTTAGGATAGAATATTTATGCAGGTGGGTTTCAATCAGCTCCTATAACTTAATGCACATAAACATAATAACAAATGCTTGTAAAATAAGGGTTATGCACCGGGGCTTGCCTGGGTAACTTATTCACACTAAGTTAGTTGGCTCCATCTTCAACATGATCAACCATTATCTTTAGGCTGGCCACCGTTACACCATCTTCCCGTTAGACGCCAACATCCTTTAGAAGATCCATCAATTCTTCACCATTCCTAAATGATATGCATGAATACAATGCATGCTTAAGTCAAACAAGCATAGTAAGTACATTTACAAACATTAATAGACAAGCAACACATTGTAGGGTGACTAATGGTATACAACGTTGTCGACGCGAAAACGTGGTAGCCGCGCGCGGGTGGACACGCAGCAAGTCGGAACGATCTGGAGATCTGTCTGGCTTCAACACAGGACCAGTCGATCCTGCGAATTCCTAAGGGCGCGCCAGTCAATTTGACTTGTAATTGACAAGGAGAGAAAGTTTATCAGTAATTTAGGGTGGAACATGCTGATTTTGCCTAAACAGTTCCAAGTGTGCCGCTTCGGGAGCAGTCAAACGGGAAAATCGACTAAATAGCCGATACGAGAAGAAATCGACTGTTAAGGACTGTAACGCTCGCGGGTCACGATTGATTTTATAGTAACGAATACAATACACCCAGTTTTAATGATCCTTTCCCTTAAGCTATTAACATGTATGCGTCAAAGATACATTACTGGTTAAATTAGATTTGATCAATACGTGGTGTAGAGCCAATGAATCCGGTGAAAAGGGATATGCCACACAAACAATCGACTGTTTGATATAGACAGATCTACGAACCGTCTAGGTCTAATCTATTACCGTCA